GCTGGGGGAGGCTTTTATGGAGGGGCTAGGCGCTGAGGCAGCTGGTGGGCTCATCTCTTGATTGGCAATTTCGTTGTTCTCATCGGTGTTTTTTGGATCAATGTCTATTCTGGGACTGTTCAATATTGGGCTTGCAGGCTCAGGTGTCCGGGGGTCAGACGGATTGTCAGGGCCTGGAATGGGGGGACGGGCTGCTGCTGGGGTTGGAGGGCTTGCCGGGACCGGGTAAGGGGGGCTGCTTGAGCTAGGGCTGGGAGAATCCACAGGAGCGGGACCAGGAGGGCGGATAGGTGGGGTGGGAGTGGGTCGGGGCGGAGAGGCGACCGGGGCTGGGGCGGGGGAGGTGGGTTTGCTCCAGTGCCAGTCTGTGGGCCACTTGTGCTCCCAGTTCTTCCAGCTGGCGGGCCACTGGTCGCAGTTCTTGCTCCACGAGGAAGGCCAGTCTGCGGGCCAGTTGGACTTGGTCCAGGGGGTCCAGGGGTGGCCCCACTTGGTGCCGGAGGCCTCATCATCGCTGCCAGTATTGCTGCCGCTGGTTGAAGGGGAGGGAATGTGACTCTTCACAGAGGAGGATGCCCATCCATCGCCCCCGGTGCTGGTGCTGACAGAGCTGCCGGAAGAGGACTCGAAGGATAAGGAGCTGCCGCGAGGGCCAGAGGAAGAGGAGGCGGTGGAGAGGTCCAGGGGCGTGGCGGTGGGGGCAACAGTGGCGTCGCTCTTGGCCCAACCGTCAGAGCCCTGAACAGACACGGAGGATGTGCCGTCGCTGGAGGCCATGCCACTGACTCCGTTGGTGGATGCCTTCGCTGTTGCAGTGTTCTGTCTGGAGGCTGGATCGCTGGTCTGCTGGCTGGAGTGATCGAAACCGAAGGTGCGCAGGGACCTGGCCCACTGGGGGCGGGTCGTCACGGGAAGGGCGGCATCTGCAAGTGTAGCGCATGGCGACTTGTGCAGGGGACGAGCGGTAATAGTGTGTTTTGCACACGTTGACGACATTACGCAGGTGCATTACTCTCCCTGATGCATTGGGCACACTCACCAGGGCGGATCTCCGCGGCGGCGAGAGCGGGGATGAGCAGCAGCAGGAAGGCGTGCACAAGGACAGCCATGTCAACTGGCACCTCAATTTCTCCTATTCCAGCTTCCCTGTTCCAGTGCACAAGCATGCACGATACCGATCACAACACCTCTTATATGCAGTTTCCACCCCGTCAACGTGGTCGTCGCCATACTGGGGCTCCTTCCGGTATGGTGTGTATGGGGCAGATCGCATGGTAGCCAACCCGGACGGAAATTTTTCCGACATGCCCGCAACGACTTGCACTCAAATGGGGCTGTCGGATCATAACCCCCTTCCATAAAGCATATTCCGGCAAAAGGTTTAAGTGGTCCATTCAGTATCCTAATGGTGGAGCGGCAGGTCGTTTTCGGTGCCATTAGGTTTTACCTCCCAGTCTAGATTATCCTATCGGGGGATTCAAATCGTAACGTAATCCAAATGGGGCCGGCTATCTGCATCGGACAGTCTATATTATAGGCTCTGTATCCCTGTTTGGTACAAGTAACGTCCCTGAGAGCCCGATAATGATAGATAAGGCGAAAAAAATTTCAATCCCAAGCCTGCGCAAACCGCGGCCCGAGAGCATCGTACTCAGTATGGGGCGATGGGCGTGTACTAGGTTCGCCGACTGTTCCTCCAAGGTCTCCACCAGGTCCCTCAGCGACCCGCTCTAGAGGTGCTTCGGTACCAAGAAAAATGGTATCGTATAGAAGCCCGTGATCACCGCGTTTTCCTCTGGCGATCAGCGCCTCGGGTGCTGACGAGGCCCTCTATGGAACACCTGACATAAGTATTCCGACGTCAATCCGAGAATATCTCTATATGAGGTTGACATCCAATGTGTAAATGTGCAGAAAGAGTAGTAAGAGTCTCGCCTACAGAAACGTGTTCCATTCCAAACCCTACCCTCCCATTTAGTTTCAGACCCCAGTCACCTGCGTTGGGCTGGATTAAGTGCACATGCGCCTCCCAATCGACCGGAGCTGGTCATAGAATCGACCTTGAATGCCGACCCGTGCATGAGAATCCGAGCACTACGCTTACATCGCACCTGAAACGGCTTGCACCGACGCCTCAGTCCACAGCTTCCTCGCTTGCATGGAGTCGCCGGCAGGACCTGCGAGCAACCCGACCCCCCAAATCATCTCCAGCGAGACACTGATACGATTCGAACAACGCCATCGTACCTGAAAGAGTTATTATTTTGTATAGGAAACAACTGAATCTGGCATGGCACCGGTGTGTCTTGTGACCATATGCCGGCTTGCCCATGCGCGCCTCTCCTGCGACTCCAATGCATACTCATGGAAGCCAGGAGGTGCAGAGTGGAGAGTCCACATGCTACAGACGACCTTTGACCATGCCATTCCAAAATCCGGTTGCTACGCAGGCGCCTTCTCTACATGATGGTAATTATCGGCTACCCTTATGAGTAGCTCTGAGCCAGGAGGAATACTGGTGTACCCAGGTGGTGGATTGTCTCGTCCCACAACAGATGAATGGGGATGGCATCTGAAACGGTTCAGTGGGACGAGGCAATGTGTGAGGAAGACAGTCTGTTCACAGTGACGTTGTGCAGTGCAGTCTCCCCTTACCAAGAAATTGCAGCATTTAGTCCCAGACAAGCGTGGATGGAGTTTTACGGAACAGCATGCACTGATTCACGTGGGAGGGTGTAGTGCAGCAAAGAGCCTGAGTGGGCATGGCACTGGTAGCCCAGGGTATCTGCACTAGATGTCAATGTCATCATCTGGATCCTCATCCGAGTCGTGCTCCGAGTCAGAGTCCCGAACATACAGCACATGGTTTGTGGTGGACCCCCTGCCGCCCGCTGCACGAGGGAGGTACTCGCGGAAGTCGGTGCCCAGTTGCTGCAGGGCCTGCGTGGGAAGGATGAGTGTATTTGTGGACATGGCTGTAAGACGATTCGGTCAAGGGTGTGCCAGCACAGGTGTGTCGCAGAGATCGCTGGACCGCCTCACTCCCCTGAGGACAAGGATCGAGGCCCCTCAGATGCACAAGGCACCACCGGGGGATGGCTCGCCCTGCCCCAATCCTCGGGACGTCACATGCATGTGGCTAGCACAGGGAGAGCGGCGGGGTGGGATCTCGGCAGCATGTCTGCGTCGAGGGCTCACCTGGCCCTGACGCTCGTATGGCAGCTGCACCGAACTCCGCGCCGCGCTTTCCTCCGGCGTCAGGCCCAGCTTCATCCCCCCCGCCACCCCTGGGCCTGGGGGAGGGGCCGCCCCGGGCGCCACCCCTGCTCGCACGCTGGGGCCTGTGCCGGCCGGGACGGGAGTGGAGGGGCCGTCAGCCACCATTGTCTCGATGGAGAGGGGCTGCGTCTTGCTGGGTGGCGCACTGCTTGTCTAGGGACTGCATGAACAGGCGAGCAGCAGTCCCACCCCCGGGTGGAGGGCACAGCAGCCCGGACCTCCTCGTGTGCGTCAGTCGCAGGGCTGCAGGAGCCGGCCTTGGGCCCTCCTGGGACAATAGCGCACGCAGCGGCGGCGCCGACGCGCTCCCACTCACCTCGCGAGCCTTGCCCTCCAGCCTCCGCTCCGACGCGCGGGCCTGGCGCCGTCGCGGTCGTGACGGGCGCGTACATCAGGGAAGCCCCCCCCTGACCAGGCTTTCCTTGCTTGCCGACCTGGCCCGCGCGGCTCACGGCGACGGCCTCCACCCTGGGCCCGGCGCGGGCCCTCGGTCTCGCACACAGCGCGACGCACAGCGCCTCCGGCCCTGCCCCCGGGGGCGGGGGCAGGAGCGCCACCTCGGCGTGCACCGCGCGGCGCAGCAGCGCGCACGCGCGCTCTTCGTGCGCGCCGGGGCGCAGCCGCGCCAGGAGGCCGACCACTCCCGGCGAGCGGGCCAGGTCGGCGAGCAAGGAAAGCACGGCGCGCACCCCGTGCGCGCCCACCCACCCATCCAGTCCGTCCACGACGCACGCGGCGGGGGCGGGGCCGGCGGCGACCGCCGAGGCGACACGCCCCGCCCACAATCCGGGCGGGGCGGCCAGGGTGCCTGGGATGGCATGAGGGGAGCTTTGTACCCCGGCCCGTGCCCAGCAGCCGTGGGCATCCGAGTGGCAGTCGAGCAGGGTGAGGGCAGGGGCTGAGGAGCAGGCGGACGCTAGCTCGGCGGCGGGGCCGTCGATCGCCAGAGCCACGACGGCTCCGGAGCATTGCCGCATCGCAGAGCAGGTGTCTCTCACCACCTGATTGAGGAGACAGGGGATTCCTTGGCGTCCAGGGGTGGTGACACATCTGCAAACACGATGTTCAGGGGCAGGCAGGCACATCCTAAACCCTCCCTGGCCCAAGGACTCGTGCCATGCCTGCTGGAAGACTCGATGGCCTGCCAGGACATCGAGGTCATCCAGGAAGAGGAGGATGGGCGCGGGTGACAGGGGGTCGTTCGTGGCCATGGCGGAGACAGCCGACCGCCAGGGCGCCCGGGTCCCGGCTGCCGCCTGGAATCGGGCTTGCGCCGTTGGATGCATCGTACTGCGCTGCAAAGTGAACGATTTCAGTAATGCATGTGCTGCATGCGCCTGTGCGTCGTCACTTGCCATGGAACATGTGCTCCTGGTTTGCGCAGATGCCTGGGCGCGAAGACCAATCTTCCTCGACACCGGGCAGGCTGGCCATGCTCTGGCCATGCGCAGCAGGAGAGTCAGCAGGCCCTCACACAGTGCGGTCCCTCCGTGCTTCCCTGATCACTGGTTCTTACGCCACCAGAGTGATACATGCAATTATTGATTTGATTTTATGTGCTCTTCCTATCGATAGAGGGTGGCCGAATGAGGGGCTGGACAACCCTGGTCCCCCTCCTGCGTGACGTGGTTGCCCGCGCGCGGTGCGCGGGATCCCTGCATGCCGCCAAGCTAGACATCCGGGCGTTCACGAGCCTGTCACATGCGGCACCCCTGGGAGCGGCGCCCCCAGCTGTCACCGGCCTGCGCCAGGTGCCAGGGGCTGGCATGGGAGAGGGCGCCCGCGCTCCATGCATGAGCACCTGTGCCACTGTGTGAGGTGCTGGTGCTTCCCCCTGCAGTGCTTTACCACACCTCACCGCACTCCCTCCCCACTCCCACCCATCGAACAGCTGGCAAAGGCAGCCGGGTCGGCGCCCGGCCTGGCCTCCTGGGCGGCTCGCGGGGCGCTCGCCGCCGCACCCTCGCCCCCGCACCTGCTCCATGGTCTGCGCTGGGTGGCGTCCCTGGCGGGACCGGGTCCCGCTGCCGCCACGCCCTACGGCGCCGCGGCGCTGACCGCGGGCCTGTCAGCCGCGCAGCGCCGCTGGCTGGCCCTCTGGCTGGGCGGCTGCAGCGCCTGGGTGGCGGTGCTGGTGGTGCTGGGCGGCGTCACGCGCCTCACCCGCTCCGGCCTGTCCATGACCGACTGGAAGTTTGGCGGCGAGCGTGCGCCCTCCGGCGACGCGGAGTGGGAAGCCGAGTTCGCGCGCTACGCGGCCTCGCCCGAGTTCCGCCGCGTCAACTCGCGCATGACCCTCGACGAGTTCAAGGCGATCTACTGGATGGAGTTTGCACACCGCTACTGGGGACGCGGCCTGGGCCTGCTCTTCGCCGGCCCCGCCCTGGCCTTTGCGGTCGGCCGCACCGTGACGACCCCCCTGGCCCGCCGCCTTGCCCTACTCTTCGCCATGGGCGGCACCCAGGGCCTGGTGGGCTGGTGGATGGTGCGGTCGGGGCTGGAGGACCCCGCCGACCCTCACACCGTGCCGCGCGTCTCCGCCTACCGCCTGGCTGCCCACCTCACCTCCGCCTTCGCCATCTATGCCACCCTGGTCTGGACCACGCTGGACGTGGCGCGGCCCGGCGCGGGGGCCGGCGGCGCGGCCGCCGCCGCCGCCGCCGCGGCGCTGGCGCGCTGGGCGCTGCCCGTGGCAGGCCTGCTGGCAGTGACCGCCGTGTCCGGCGCCTTTGTGGCGGGGCTGGACGCGGGGCGCGCCTTCAACACCTTCCCCACCATGAACGGGCGGTGGGTGCCGGAGGAGTACTGGGACGTGCCCGGCTGGCGCAAGGCCTGCGAGAGCACCGCCGCCGCGCAGCTGCACCACCGCGCGCTGGCCGCCAGCACGCTGGCCGCCGTCGGCGCGCTGGCCTGGCGCGCGCGGCGCCTGCCCGCACTGCCGGGCCGCGCGGCGACGCTTACGGCCGCGCTGGCTGCTGCCACCTGCCTGCAGGTGGGCCTGGGCCTGGCCGCGCTGCTCAACGCCGTGCCGGTGGAGCTGGGCGCGGCGCACCAGGCCAACGCACTCACGCTCTTCACGCTGGCCCTGGCGCTGCTGCACGCACTGCGCCCGGGGCCGGTGAAGGCCGCCGCCGCGCGCCGCCTGGCCGCGTACGTGACCCCCGTGGCCGCCGTCGCGGTCGTGGGGATTGGCGCCGCCGTCACGCAGGTGCACTGAGTGACGCCCACGTGCAGAGCGTGCAGCAGGAGGTGGCTGAAGCACGGCAAGCAAACTCTCAGAATGCCCCTTTGTAAAACGGTGCGCACCATGCGCTGGTTGTAGGCACAATATGTGGCAGGAAGTGGGGTTGGCAAGCAGAGTGGGAGTGGTGTGGGCGACGGCGGCGGCCCTTGCGTTACCGATGAGATTCACTTGACATAAAAATTTCGCCCAAAACCAAAAGAATTTGTTGTGGGAGGCGGCGATGATAACCACTACACTATCGTTGCCCATGAGAGGGCTTGCTTGTGGCAGGTCGTGCAACGACCGGGAATCGAACCCGGGTCCGCCGCGATGTCCTTCAACTGGATGTAAGGTTGCCTTTTCCTGGAGACTAGGGAGTGGACCTATGCTTTGTTGAGTCCGATTCAATTGACCGGGCGCCAGGTCCTGTATATGGTAGATAACTGCTGCCGAGAAGCCTCGGCAGAGGTACCATTCAACTCCGAACAATCTCTGTGACTGTCGCATGCAGCGATAGATCAAGACAGTCCCAGCCATCGCGATGACTGCAAGCCGGGTGGAGATACGGGGACCCAAACTGGGCGACGCAGTGTCGCTGTGCGTTGTGAAGGGGTTGACGTCGCATGCGAAAGTTGTAGATGGACCTGACATGGTTCAGATCGCAAAATTAGTACGTCTATGCGCCCAAAGCGCCGGCATGCAGGTCTTCGAGGTGTCCCTGAGTGGCTTCACTCCCAGCTCTATCCTCACACTCCATGCGCAGATGGAACTTCACCCCTTCCCCCGGCTGGACGGTGGAGGAGACCAGAACCCTGCGCCTCCTGCTCATGCGCTACGGCATCGGGCGCTGGGTGCAGATCCTGGCCACGGGGCTCTTGCCGGGCAAGCTCATCCAGCAGCTGTACGGCGCCACCCAGCGCCTACTGGGGCAGCAGTCCCTGGCCGCCTTCACGGGCCTACGCATCGACCTCGACCGCGTGAGGGCGGAGAACGAGGGCAGGACGGACGCCCCACGCAAGTCGGGCCTCATCATCTATGATGGACGTGAGTGCTGGGTGGGAGGTTTACTTGGGTCCAGGGGGGCTGGTCTACCTGGGGCGGGAGAGGAGAGGCTGTGGAAGTGTCGCCGCTGGCACACCAAGGTGCCAAATCTTGCAGGGTGCATGGAAGGTCTCGGTATGGCACTAGCCCCTGGTCAGCCGGGCTTGCCTATGGAGGATGACTTCCAGCGGGAAGGTGCATGCTCCAAGCCTCCCCAGCACACCCTTTCCACAGCTGTCCTGACGCGGGAAGACAAGGATCGTCTGCAGGCAGAGGCGCAGGAGAGGTAGGCTGTAGGCTGTGATGGGTGTTGGGGTGAGGGGGGGCACCGCCTACGCACCTCATGGTCTCTGCGCTCACCTCCGTTCCTGTGTGCAAACGGCTCCCAACCCTTCAGCATCCCAGCCGTCCTGACTCTCAATGAATCCCAGGTATGGACTGACGCCTGAGCAAATGGCCCAGGCAGAGGCTGAGGTGGCGGCGCTGCAGGACAGCATGCAGGGCACTGCACCGGCGTGGCGGGACTGCCCCCTGCTGGGTGCGTGGGCTAGGAGGTGTTGGGTGGGGTGCTGAGTGTCTTGCGATCTGCCATCTATCACGACAAGGGGCAGCGGCTGACAACGCATACCTTGTGCATGAGCGAGCACTCATCATCTTCCGATTCTCACCGGAGTGAGAGTTGTGATTGGAGCATGGCCCTGTGATCCCCAAGCCACCGGCCTTTCCATCACCTGCTTGCCATCTCACATTTTGCTTGGGTCCCCCCGCCAACACCACCACATCCACACACACAAAATTGCAGCGGGCGACACGAGCTCCTGCACCCAGGAGGAGCTGACGGGCATGCTGGCCGACCTGCACTCCGTCCTGAGGAGGCTGCGGGCGCAGCTCAGCAGCGCCGTGGCGCGCAGGCACCGCGCGACGCGCACCCCGACCCTGGACGGGGGCGGCAGGGGGGACGGCGCGGCGCCCAAGGAAAGGGCGGCGCGGCCCGTGAAGCGCCGCGCGCCGGTGCCGGCCGCTACTCGGACCGCAGCGGCGGACAGCGATGACGACGACGACGACTTTGAGTGGTGCGGTGGGGTGGAGTTGGTGGTGTCATGCCTGCAGACCATGCAAGGCTGTTGTGAGGGCGTTGTGCATGGGTGGGTGCAGGAGGACAAGCCCTGCATGGGTGGCTGGGGGTTACTGAAAGCGAGTCTGGTGGTGTGCTGGGTTCCGAGGATGCTGGAGAAAACCACACAGATGCATGGAGGGGGTCAAGGCTATGGCGTGCTGGTTTGCTGCTGGGCGACCGTCGCACCCATACCACTCCGTATCTGGTCCCCTGGCGGGCTGGAGGGGCCGTGACCCTCTCTCCTCCGACCAATCTGAGTCCACAGGCGGCCATCGCACGCGCCCGCCGGGCAGGCGCCTGCGGCGCGAGCGCATGGGCAGGCGCGACGCGGTCGGGCCTGCGCCGCCGCGGCGGGCGGGCGGGGCAAGGGCTGGTCCAGCCCCTTGGAGGCCGAGGATGTGGCGGCCCTGTGCGGCATGGGGTTCTCAGAGGTCCAGGCTGCGGAGGCGCTGGCCGCCGCGGAGGGCTGCCTGGAAGCTGCGATAGAGCTCCTCCTGGGGTGACGTGGGTCTGCTTGTGGGGCAGCGAATAAGGGTGACCGGAGCACATGCAGTTGCGCTGGCCCTCGCTGGCGAGGTCTTGTGCGACGCGCTTCCACTCCACCCAGGGACCCAGGTGTGGAGTGGCCCAGCATGATTGCGTGCTCCTGGGCGGCGAGTGCAAAGGACAGGTTGCATCGTGCTGCAAAGGTCACAGGATCACAGGCCGTCAGGCCACAAAGGCCACCGCAAGGGTCAAGGAGAGGCCACGCCGGCCGCCACACGTCGCCGCTCACTCTGCTCCCGGCCGCGCCGCCGGCGCCGCGGTGCCGTCGGGCATCACGCCCACGCCACGCATGTGCGTGCCCATCTTCGGGTCCCGCAGAAACTGGTTCTCCGCGTCCTCGCTGTGGTAGACGCAGGCCACCTCCGGCCGCCCCGCCAGGTCGCCCACGAAGGCAAAGGTGTTCATGGAGCGCTTGCAGGCCGACACCTGGTCGCCGTCTACCAGGCCCCTGCGCTCCAGTACGCCCACGTTGCTGCGCCGCAGCACGCACCCGGGCTTGACCTCCGGCTGGGCCACGTAAACGTTGAACCTGTGGGGCAGGAGTGAAGTGGTAGAGGGAGGTTGCTGAATGAGGCTTTCCAGCCTATTGTGGAGGTGGGGTGGGGCACTGAGGGACCCAGTGCGGCCAAAAGGGGCAGGGTAGGGTGCGGCAGGCTCCTGGACCGAGGGGTTGACTCTGGAACCCGATCAGGGCAGACGAGTCTGCGTTCCCTCAAGTGCCCCCCCCCTCCTCCCCCCCAACACACACACATAACACACACGACGCACGGGTTGAAGGACAGGAAGATGCGCTGGTCGAAGACCATGGAGGAGTAGCCGTTGGCCATGCACAGCTCGCTGTTGGGGGTCTTGGTGTCCACCAGCACCGTGGAGGCGACGTTCTGGGGCTGGAAGGTGACCTGGGTGTCAAACCAGATGCCCGCGCCCATGCCTGCACAGGTATGTGTAGAATGGACGTGACTGAAGAGGGTGACGAAATGAGACCAGGAGCCAAGGTGTGTGAAGGGTGTGCAGGGGTGCTGGGGATGACGCATTCCCGTTCCTATCCAGCAATCAGAACCCCGGGGCGCAGGTCGCGACCGCCCACCTAGCACGAAGGCGCCTGCTATGAATGCCTTGGTGAGGCCATTGGGACCCCCGGCTCCGGGGCTGGGCCCGGGATTGGGGGGCTCCTCGGGCGGGAAGCGGGGTCGTGAGCCATTGGGAGGGGGAGAGGGGGGCACCCAGTCTCTCCGTTCCTGGGCGAGGGCTGCCTCGCCATCACGGCGATCAGGATTATACTGAGCCCTCAAGGGATGTAAACATCTATATCGGTGGGCACGATGCGCCGGTAAGAAGCAGGCGCGGGCAGGGCAGGGGCAGGAAGAGGTGCGAGACATGGGTCTGCTTCGTGCGAGCGACATGGGCACCCTCGCAGTGCCCTGCAACATGTAGATCTGTTCAGATTTTCCTTATGCTTGTCCTTGAGAGAGTCGAGAGCTTCCCCTGACACCATGCCTGGTAGAGTTGGGGTCTCGTTGCATGCTGGTGAAAGGCCTTTCGAAACCTCAGCAGGCCCAGCAGTGTACCTAGGTGTCTGGTTCGTGCACGGGTGTACAGAGCGCATCACCGCTACGTGGCAGGTTGCGATCCCAATCAAGTCTTCAGGAAGCTGTTATGTCATTGCCAGACCTTTTGTGGAGAGGGAAGGGTCCTGTGGCTCCACCGATCGAGACACCTTTGCTCGGCTCACCATGAGCTTTGGAGGATTCCAATTTGGTAAGCTCGAGAATAGCGACTTGTATGGATCGTGTCCCTATGGAGGAGCTTGGCATGATGAGGCTCCCATCTTGTTTCCTCACAGGCGGAGCGGCCTCCGCTCCGGGAGCTTCAGCTAGCAGTGCCGCATTTGGAGCAGCGACACCGGCAGGTGAGTGTTCACGCTTGTCCGAGATGGCTTTGCCGGGATTATGCATCAGGCCAGTCAAGACCGATCGTGGCTAAGTGGTCGCTCCGTCATTACCATCATCCTCCCCACCATTGTGCGCAGGGAGCTTATTTGGGAGCACCAGCGCTCCTGCCTTTGGAGCCACGAGCACGCCAGCCTTTGGGGCTGCCGGTACACCTGCCCTTGGAGCTGCTGGCACTCCAGCTTTTGGAGCCACCAGCGCGCCAGCCTTTGGTGGAGATTTTGGCTTTGGAGCCAGTAGTGCATTAGCATTCGGGGCTGGCAGTGCGCCTGCTTTTGGAGCCAGTAGTGCACCAGCTTTCGGGGCAACAAGCACGCCGGCCTTTGGAGCAACGAGCACGCCGGCCTTTGGAGCAACGAGCACGCCAGCCTTTGGAGCGACGAGCACGCCAGCTTTTGGGGCGACAAGCACGCCAGCTTTTGGGGCGACAAGCACGCCAGCCTTTGGAATGACGAGCACGCCAGCCTTTGGAGCAACGAGCACGCCAGCCTTTGGAGCCACGAGCACGCCAGCGTTTGGAGCGACGAGCACGCCAGCCTCTGGAGCATTGAGCACGCCAGCTTTGGAGCCACGAGCACGCCAGCTTTTGGAGCCACGAGCACGCCAGCGTTTGGAGCAACGAGCACGCCAGCGTTTGGAGCAACGAGCACGCCAGCGTTTGGAGCCACACAAGGTGTGTATTATCTCCAGGCCTCCTCAAATCATGCATACAGGGGTGTTGCTAGGATGGGAGGATGCTTGCGAGCCTCCTGGGGATAACCTTGGGGCAAGTTGATGCTGGGAATACTGCATAGCTTCCCCTCACCCCACATTGCCTCCTGACGCCCTTCACGCTCCCCTGCAGCTTCAGGGAGCCAGACAGCAGGCGCCTCCACTCCCGCTTTTGGCGTGGCTGCCAGTGGATTTGGCGGATTTGGAACGCCGAGCGCGACGCCCGCCAGCTCAGCGGCGGCAGCAGCCCCGACAGGCGCCTCCACCCCGTCGTTTGGCGCCACGCCGGCCCCCAGCGCTGGTGCCGGCGCGAGCAAGCCCGCATTCAGCTTCGGGGGTGCCGCCGCCAGTGCGGCAGGCGCGGCTCCCAGCGCTGCGGCAGCATCTAGCGCCGCGTCAACGCCCGCTTTCTCCTTTGGAGGCTCCGCGCCTGCCACCCCGGGTTCCCAATCCGGCGCCACACCGCCCGCCGGCGCACCCGCCATTTCCTTTGGTGCGACGCCTGGTGCACCCGCGCAAGGCACGGCCGCTGCCAGCACCCCCGCGCTATCTTTCGGCGCCGCGCCGGCCGCCGCCAGCACCCCAGCTGCCGGCACCGGCCCGGCCGCCGGCGCCACCATTGCGGCTGCGAGCGGGGCTGGGTTCTCTTTTGGTGCCACGCCCGCCGCGGGAGGTGCGAGAGGGGAAAAGTCCAGGGTTGGCATGTTGTCGGTGAAGCACCCTGCGTTGCTGCAATTTATCTGGGCCCCTCCTTTGTGCCGCATGCTCCGCCGTCCCGCCGCTCCCTGATCCATGCCCAGTTGCGCCCTCCTCCGCAGTCGCTCCCATCGCGACGGCCTCCGCCCCCGCCAGCTCCACAGCGCCCTCCAGCGCCGCCACGGCGGGCGCTGTGGCTGCGACGGGTGCCGCCGCGGCGGACACCGGCGCCGCTGCGGTCTCCTCCCTGGCTGCGCCCAGCGAGATCCGGGGCAAGATGGTGGATGACATCATCGCCGGCTGGGCAAGCGAGCTGGAGGCGCGCTCCGCGTCCTTCACCAAGCACGCCGCCGCGCTGGCGGAGTGGGACGCCGTTATCCTCTCGAACCGCCGCTCCCTGCTCGCTCTGGAGCAGGAGGTCCGCAAGGTGAGGGGAGAGGGGGGAGGGGGCAAAGAATTGTGAGCCTGGATGGGGGTTCTGGGTGGGGGACATGCATAAGGCGCAAAGGGAGGCGCGATGATGCCGCGAGGCCCGACCCACTTGGTCAAGGGAGTCTGAGATGTTTACTCGCCGGCTTGGTTCCCCCGGGGCCAGACGCCCACGTGCATGGATTGGCCTGTGCCGCTCTATTCACTCACACCCCATGCCCCTGCCATGGCATATCATCACTTATCGGCCGAATGTATCCTCCCACCCTTGTTCCTCTTCCTGCAGGTCCTGCATGCCCAGGAGGCGCTGGAGCGGAAGCTGGCCATGCTGGACACACATCAGCGCGGCATCCATGAGACGCTGACGGGGATGGAGCACGAGGCCGCCAGGCTGGCTCAGGAGGAGGCCGGCCTCCAGGACGAAGGGACGCGGTGCGAGGCTGGGGAGGGGATTTGTAGAAAGGAGGATGAGTTTTGGGGAAGGGAATTTTCTCGGTTCTGGGAAGGGGGGAGACTGGGATGGCTAAGATCAGTGGGAAGAGGGAGGCCCGGGAGAACCTGGCGCAAGAGGAAGATGAAGGATCATGGGGAGATGGTAGACTGAACCATATTAGGATGTGGCCACTCGTGGATCAGAGGCACAGGGCCCTGGCCGTGTTTTCAGCACAATCTCACGCCCAGCTCGCCTGACCCAGCGCAGGGACCGGGATGTGCTCTACGCCCGGGCAGAGCGGGTGGGGGCCCAGCTGGCGGACCTGGGGGCGCTCCTGCATCGCACCGTGGCCGATATCAACGCCAACACCGGTAAGAAAGAAAGAATAGGGGGGCGTCGGGAGTGGAGGAAGGGGGGCAGTGCCCCCTGTTGTTGGTTACCGATGGTCGAAGCATGCCCCTGGTCTGCATGCATTGTCGCCACGCGGCCATGCGGCTCCCCTCCTCACCCCTCTCGCCCGACCAATTCCTGCCCCGCAGCCGCGAGCCTGGGCGACACCGACTCGCCGCTGGGCAAGGTGGTGCGCATCCTGAACAACAACCTGCAGGCCCTGGCGCTCATAGACGCGCGGACCGAGGAGGCGCGCGTGCGTCTCAACAGCCTGCGCGCCAGCCGCTGACCTGGGCCAGGGCTGTGCCGTCATTCTGCGTGTGCTGCCCCTCCTGCTCCAGAGGGTGTGCCTGGCAGCTTGATGCACTCTCCCGCACGCGTTCCACCTTGGTAAGTTCTCAACCTTCAAGTTCAAGAGCCATCGGGCTTGCAGGCTGGTGAGGTGGTTGGGTGTTAGGCCCCAGGCGGATGATCAATCCCTCCGATCTCAGGGGAATCCAAAGTCCCACACACCTGCGCGCGCGGAAATTATCCGACAGAACCAGCCCCGATGCCCGCCTCGCCACGGCCACATGGTGGCCTGCGCTCCAGAACATCCCCAAAATCGACGTCTCAATTCGTGCATGGCCCAGTGCCCAGCTGCTCAGATGGCTGTCGGGCTCTCCTTTGGCCCACACACGAAACCTCTCGCCTGGCTCCCCTCTAGATACCCGCGTGGAGTCCGTCTGCGCCCCACCACCGCTCAAAGTGCGGCGCAAATGGATCTGGGCGCCATGCACTTTCGATCCATGTCCTGGTGCATGTGCGTTACAAATTGCTACACCCCTTTACGCACTACAGGAACAGGGAGCGAGACTGGGGAGAGCACGCCACATCCCTTGCACAGACAGCCCGTTCGGCGACGAGAGCCCGGGCCCGCGCCCAAGGAGGTCCCTGTAGAGCATTCTTCCGCCTTTTTGCTTCAAAAGAGGCATGGCAACCTGACACAGAGTCTGTCTGTGTCAGATGGGGGGCGGGGAGAGAATGGGACAGAGGCCAGCGCCACCTCTGGCTCCTCATCGACTACATACCAGAGGAGGAGGACCCCCTCCAACCCCGCTGACGAGACCCCCTTCGAGGAGCTGGTGCGCCGCATGGACGAGGGGCTGGACGAGATGGAACGCAACCCCCCTGCTTACGCTCGGGCGTGGCACAGCATCTCCACTGGGCCACTGGGTGAGACCTTGAGGAGTGAGGGATAGGGGCTGGTCGAGGCACATACACAATCCACAGCTCGGCAACATCTCTAGTGCTTTGACCACCTGTATCCTCCAGTCCTGTGTGAGAGCTCGAAGGGCAAACCTTCCTGGACCCAGCTGCGGGCTCCCTCCACTGCCTCCCCTGCTCCTCCTGCTGTGGCAGGAGCGGCCACTGGTGCCGGCGTGATGAAGGCTGCCAAAGTGACGGCTGTGGTGGGGGGGGAAGCAGTACGATTGGCAGTGCCAGCCACCAAGTGGGCTCTGGGAGTGGGCCTGCGAATGGCCCTGGGAGCTGTGAGCGCCGTGGAGAAGCAAGAGCGGCGGCGAAAGGATGGGCCGCCCAGTGAGCTGTGAGGAATTAAAGATCGTGCCCCTGCAAGCGCAGCGCTCTCCCACGAAAGCCACAGGATGGGCTGGTTGGCGACGGATGTGCCCTGAGGCACCCTCGCGAATTTCACGCCACTCCGCTGTCCCCCACATGCTTGTGCACTGCCGTTTGATTCTGTGAGGGGCGCTTGACAGACAGCCGTGACGCAGGGGGGAAAGGGCAAGCACACACTTGAGCCCCAGCGTCTGTCAAGCAGGGGTGCATGCAGCTCACTCGTCCTCCTGGCTGCGCAGGCGAGAGCCAGCGTTCAGGACGTTCACGTTGAGCTGGAATGGGGGTGAAGAGTTGGCAGTGAGAGACAAAAAATCAGGTAATCTGCTGGGTATAGCATATCTTGAAAGTATTGACCCAGGCATTCTGAGGGAGTACTTCAGCCTCCCACCCTGAGGCTCCTGAAACTGCACATGCCAGCCCTATGGTCCCAAACTAATGGACCTTTGCACACCGCCCACTTCTGCACCACTCGACGCCCCGACCACCTCCAACAGAAACCAAACCCACCTCGGCCGCGCGCTCCACGATCGCCTTGCGCTTGAGGGTGGACACGTTGTGTGCGATCTCAGCGGCGTACTTGCGGTTGTGCAGCAGCAGCAGCTCAAGGTCCTTCACGTTGGACACGATGAACTTGAGGAAACCTGCATGGGGGGCGGAAGCTGGAGCGTCAGGCACCAGGGGCACATGCTGATCTGACCCTCGCTCTTGGAGGGGCACAGTCTCCAGTCCGACCGGGTCCAGCATATTATTTGGTCGACAATCATGCTGCAAGCAAAGCCTTGTGCTTTGTCACACCGTTTGGCAGGACGTGGCGGGTCTTCTTGTTGGTGCCGTAGCCGATGTTGGGCATGGTCACACCGCATCCCTTGAACTTCCGGCGAACGCGGGAGTCAATACCCTTTGGCCGCCTCCAGCTCTCCTGCGACATTCGAAGGCGGGGGAACGGGCATAGAGCGTGCACTCCCGCATTCAGGCGGGCGCGCACAGCCTTCCTCCACGGGGCCCGGGGCATGCTCGCCGGCACTCCGCGGCGTGGGCCTATGCTCCTCTTACCTTGACGGAGATCTTCCGGTCGCTCTGGTGGCGCTTGAAGCGCGCGGTGTGCTTGTGCACGCTCTTCACCTTCACGAGTGGGGCCACCATCGTACCGCCTGCGAGGGGACACCGTGGTTCAGCGGCGCGCTTGGAATGCCTGGAAGGTACACAGATTCCTTCTCTCCTCACCTGTCTTGATTCCGAGGAACTGAAAGAGGGAGCTTCCGGGCCAGGCACGGCCCTGTTCTCCCAAGCCGCCCGGTATGCTAGAGGGTCCGTGGTAGAAAGGGAGGAAACTCGTGCGGTAGGGGCCACCCCCTACTTGCCTGGTGGTGGGAAGCAACAGGCATATCAGTTCCGCATTGTAAATCCCCAAAACACTGATCAACGGATATATTCACCGTTAATACAACATACATGGTATTCTGTGAGCGTGTCATACAGTATTGAGGGAACTTGCATGGCCCTGCCCAAAGCTATTTACTGCCATTCATCTTAAATAATCGCGTGCACGGCTGTTGTAGCAAGATGGCTAGACATCGGCTGGTAAGGCTGTGTAAGTGATTCTTTGCTGCTTGCACCTTCTCTCTGTCGTGAACACACCTCATGAGTCAGCACCAAGGATCTGAATTAATATCTGCCCATTTGCCATGCTACCGAGGGACAAGCACTAACAACCGTGGGTGGGGATATCCAGGGCCCTGAAGAAGCTAAGATGTATATTCGATATGGAATGTCTTTGCCGTCCACGTCGCACCTGCCAACTGTAGACCATGAGCAGTGGAGCAACGAAAGTGCTGGCACATCCAACATCCATAAGAACCAGAAATCCACTGAATTAGCTTCAAGCAACAGAGATGATTTCTTTTATCACTGGAAAGGGGCCCCTTGTTGTGCAGCAGGTGGGGCTCCCACTTCCCAGCTCATGCACAGCACACAAGCTGCCGGGTGTATGAATTCTCGCGGGGCTGGTCCTGGTGGCCGAGCCGGAGCAGAGAGGAACCAATTTTAGACGACCAGCTGATGTGATTAAGCTGCCGACTGTCTCAAGAAGCAGCTCCGCGAAATCGACAGACCGGGGAAAAGGGGAGGGGATGCCGGGTCTTGAGCGACTAAAAGGGTGCTGAGAGCCTGGCCAATGGCAGCGGATCAGGTCATATACCTTGAGAAGTTCATCGAGAGTGAGTGGGGCGCTGTTAGATAAGGTTGGAGCGGCCAGTGAAGCGAGCACCTGCCGACAGTGGCTGGGTTCACCCACCCATGTTACTTTTCCCCATGGTGGACCAGGCACGGTACACGTACCTCCCGAGCTCCAGCGCCTCCTCAACACCATCAAGGACCTGGATGAGCGATCAGAGGGTGAGACATGTCGGATCAGAGCCTGTTCGCCTCTTTTATTGGTGTGATTGTGCGAGGGACGGAGCTGTGTGTGGGGGAGTTCCTCGCCACCTAGATGACGCAGGGATGGATTGTCGGGCTATTCCGTGCCATAGAATGGCCTGGTTAAGATATCACAATACACTGTACTAGTTTCCATGCGGGCCTGATCTTCCAACTCTCACCACCTGCGCAGACTTGGGTGCCCAGATCCAGGATAATGTGGAGGTGGGCCTGCAGGGCAAGCTGAGCAAGGAGCAGGTAGAGGGGGGGCCCAGGAGAGGCTCAGAAAGGGTGTGCGGAACAGATTGAGGTACCGCGAGCCTGCCATGCCTGGTTGGTTAGTATCTCTGCGAAGACAGGGGACCCTCATGCTGTGCTCAAGGGCCCTGCTGGGGTGCCATGCGCTTCGGCGCCGGCTCCTCCATTCCCTCCCTGGCCGCACTCTCTGGCCCTTCCATAATCCAACGATCCTTGTGACTGGCGGAGTGCCCTGGCTCCCCGACCTCCCAGCCTGGTGTCCCTCGTTCAGGCTCCTAACCCTCACACGGACTCGCCGCGCCCCTCCCCCCCCCCCACCACCCCTGCGCCTTCCCATCAGGCCCCCAACTATGACCCCGCCTTTGTCCCAGGCGCGGGAGCTGCTGGAGCGCATTGAGGCAGACCAGAAGCTGCTGGTCCAGTTTGCGGAGGAGAAGGTCCAGCTGGCGATGCAGGGCTACGACCTGCTGGACATTCACCTTCTGTCCCTGGATGCCGACGCCGCCGCTCTGGCCGAGGAGCTCCAGGCCAACGCCAGCCTGAACGACGCCTTTGGCCCCGACGCCGGTTTTGGCGGGAATGGTGGCGCGTTCGACGACCCGGGGACGGCGCCGCGAACCGCCCGCCTGCGGGACCTGTCCTCCTACGACTCCCTGGAGGCCGTCACCGATGTCAAGCCAGGTGAAGGGGGAAGTGGGCACAGTGGTTGACAGGGGGCAATTACCAAGGGTTTGGGGCCAGGGTGTGAGTGTGACAGCCCCGCTGGAACAAGGAGCAGCCTGGACTGATACAAGCCCAGGCCCGGCGCCAGGCTCACAGGGCGTGGTGGAATGGAAACGCTGGCATCTGTCGAGGCTCAGCAGGGCCCAGTCTCATCGCCTCTCAATCCCTAATGGACCCTTCCACCGCTGGCCTCTCTGTGCACAGGCCGGAGGTCGACGCTGGGCCTCTCCCGCCAGCCGTCGGAGGACGCCATGACGCCGCTTGCCTACGACGGTGGCGCTGGCATGGCGGGTGGCCGGCGGCCGCAGTCCTCGGCCGGACGTGCGTGTGGAGGGGAGGGGTGGAGGTGCTGAGGAAGCGGGGTGGCGAGAGGACAGGAGGGAAGACCTACTGCTGGCAGGGGGCTCGGCAGACAGACCGGGTCGGGTGCAAAGCCTGCGGCCGCACCGCTGCGTGCATGTCTCTTCGCCCTACGTTGGATGCCTACCCCGGCATGCCCGCACCCTGAATCTCCTTGTTGTAGGCACCCTCCAGCAGCCCCTCCCGCCCCACCCCCACACAACAACAGGGCGGACGCCGCTGACCTCGATGCTGGGCCCGCTGCCCGGCGGCGAGACGGGGGGGAGCTCCCACATTCCCAAGCGCCGGGCGGCTTCCGCCGCAGTGCACGCCGCGGCGGCCGCTGTTGCGGCCATGGACGAGGACGAGGGGATGGAGGGCACCCCCCCCGCGATCCCGGGCGTGGTGCCGGTCATGCCCTTTGCCACGCCCCTCATCCCAGGCTTCGAGCACGCCGCGGAGCAGCCACAGGTGTGTGTGTGTGGATTGGGGGAGGGGAGAATGGCTGTTTTATCACCTGGGTTTACCCCTGCCCGCCGCCTGACGACCCTGGGCAGCCCGCCGCCCAGCTCTGCCTCATCACCTCCTCCTCCCCTACCCACTCCGCGCTTCCCTCAGGCGCCCGGGCGCCTGCTCATGGCCAGCGACATCGGGCCGGGCCTGGTGGGGCGACGTGCGGAGCTGTACTGGCCCGACAACAACCTGTGGTACCTGATCGAGATCCGGGCGGTGAACCTGGGCTCCAGGACCGCCTCCATCCTGTACACCACGGGGGAGGTGGAGGAGCTGGACCTGGACGAGATTGTGAAGGAGGGCCACCTCTCCCTCATCACCCCAATCCGGGCGGGGCCGGGGCGGTAGCTGGGCACGTGGGGTGGTATGCCCCTGTGGCGCCGCAGGGAAAGGGGCAGGAGGCTTCCCCGCACGCGAGCTGGCGGGGGCGCGCAGGCTCTTGGCTCGCCCGAGGGGAGTCTCCAGGGCCCTGCCATATCCTGTGCCCGTCCGTTCATCCCAGTGCGCAAGCCTGCATGAGCTTACCGCTGTTGGTATTGCTGTCCTGCCTGACCTCCCCTTTGGAACACGGCTACCCTGCTTGCCGCAACTGTGTGCAATACTTCCACTGCAACAGCACAGCTCAGACACTCAATGGGCTGTGATGACCAGGTCGGCGGAGGAAGGGCTGTGACATTAAGGTAGGGATCCAGCAGCCTTTCAGCACCATGTTGCCGTCGACCGGCATCAGGCTTCCAGCGAATCGGCCTCGCTGGATCCCTCCCTGCCGCCAGCGCTGTGTGATGCGTGGGATCCATGAGCTCTGCTTGGGCCTGCCTCTCCGCTCCCCTCATCGTCAGACGAGGATCCTGGGGTCATGGGGACGTGGAAGGCAGCGCGCCGCCCTCTGGGCAGGGCCGCCGAGGCGGCTGGCGGCGGCGGCGGTCGCCTGGGATCCTGGGAGGGTCCAGGCTGGCCCTCCGTCCAGGACACCGGGGGTGCATGCGCATCACTTGGGCTGCCGCCGTGTTCGGCCCTCCCTCGGCAAATCTTGGTTCCTGTTTTGTGCACAGCGGGTATCAGGTCGGCTCCGCCCTTGATGCTCTCTGGCGCTGACGGAGTCGCCTCCGGCACAGCCTTCTTGGGCCTTGCGGTGGCACCGACAGGCCCCACCTCACGAGCAGCCTCGAAGGGATCACCGCTCATGGGGCTCGACTCTGGTCCCTCTGCAGGCCCTGCCACTCCTCTGACCTCGGCCACCCCCTCGTTTGGAGGCATATGTAGCATGGTAGGGGGGCTCCTGGTGGGTACGCCATGGCGCTCGGCCAGTGCATTGTGTGACGATGGCCTGGGTGATGCCGCCGCCGGTCTCCTCCTCACAGGTGTGCGCATTGTTGTGGGAAACATGCATGGCGAGGGGGGAACCTCCTCCACCCACACCCTCCTGCAGGGGTGCTGCCTCGATTGGAAGGATTGGGAAACTAGCGGAGAGGAGCAGGGCGGCTGAATACGCAAATGAGCACGTCCAGCCAGGCAGTCCTTGGCTCATGCCAAAATCCCAATGACATGTATCTGCTCTGCCTCCAGCACTTGCCTCTTGACCTCGGTCTGGATCCAGGGCCATGGCTGCCCTCGCCCATAGGAGACGTAGGGCGAGGGCTCTCCCTCACCAACCAGGCCGGCAAGCCCATGCAGGAGGGGCCTGTAGAAGTCTGCGTCCATCTGGCTCTAACCAGTGTGAGGGGAGGGTTGTATGCGTCAGCTGGTGGTAAGAAACCAAGTAGTCGCAGGGTTTTGGAGGCCCTGGGGCATGTGAACAGTGATGGATGCATGCATCACTGCAAGAAAGGTCGGGTTGCCTCCAAACTAGGACCTGCCACGGCCCACCAAGCAACACACCAGCTCATCGACTCTGGGCTGGGGTGTAGCTTCTCGCAGGGCCGGCATGCGGTTGGAAATTCCTGGGCGGTGCAGCGCATGAGGGTCATGCAGTATAGGAATGAGCAAGCTTGAGGTGGTCCAGGACGACCATTCCATGCATGAGAATGCTTTCAGCAGGCATCCCAGGCGACCTAATGACAGGATACTCACCGCTCAGGCCTGGGGAGGGAGCCTCTGAATGGGGAGGCGGCGCGGCCCATGGATGCCTAGCTTTCCTGCTCAGCGCCTGGAGCCCCAGGGCTTGCACCGGCCCAGGAGACATCGACCTGGTCATGGTCTCTACAACCGTCGTCCGCCGCGTGGAGCCTGGTCGTCCGCCTGTTGCCGAGCACTCCCTGCCCGCACCTCGCTGCAGCTCCCGGCTGTCGCGCTCAATCCCAGAAATTGCCTCGCCCACCACATCCCCATGGAGCAGGGCAGCCTGCGCGGCGGCATGCCGCTGGGCCAGCCGCCAGCCCGCCCCGCTTTCCTCCCGGCGCGCGGCGGCGTGCGCCGCCGCCTCCAGCCAGGCGCGCCGGTTCCGGGCGCGCTCGTGCCGCGCGGCCTCCAAATGCTCCATCAGCAGCCCCACCCGCTCCCGCAGCGCGCGCTCGGTGCGCGCGGCGCGCGCGGCGCGGCGCGCCGCCTCCGCCGCCTCGGCGTCCAGCCTCTCGAGCTCAGCGCGGCGTCGGCCCTCGGCCGCCTCAGCCTCGGCCAGGCGCAGTCTCAGGTCCTCGGCCTCGGCCCGTCGCGCCGCGCAGGCCGCGCAGGGGGCCGCCAGGTCGGCCGTGAGGGCGCAGACCTGGTGCCGCAGCCGCTGCACCTCGGCGTGCATGGCGTGCTCCAAGCCCGAGTGCGGGTCGGGCAGGGCCGCCAGCGCCCGCGAGGCAGCGCAGGCGGCAGCGGTCACTGCCGCGCTCGCCTCCCTGTGACGGAGGGGCCACGGGGTGTGCGTTTCGGCTACCTCTCAGCATCAGCGGGGGCTCTGGGGAGGAGGCAGTCGCAGCACGCGACAGGGCCATGCTATGCAATCGGCATGGCATTCCAGGACCGCATCCCAGGGGTGTCTCTGCGGTCACCCATACGACACTGCAGCGCCCCCCTCTCCAGGGTAGCCAACTGACTCGGCCATCGCGCGGAGCTCCGCGTCCAGCCCGCTGGCACTCGGCTCCACCTGAGAAGGGTCCAGCGAGTGCAGGGCTCTGAGCAGGCCCTCCTGGCCCCTCGCAAGCCTCTCCAGCGCGACGCAGAGCCCCTGCTCGTCCCCGCGCACTGCACCGAGGTTCCAGCCCTCAGGATCCAGAGCGTCCCAGTGGGTGGTGAGGTGCCCGCCCTCCCTGGCACTGCGATCCAGCGTGCATCCAGGCCATGCCTCACGTAGCCGGGCCTGTGGTGTGAGGAGAGGGGTAGACTTCTTGTCAGTGAACAGCGTCGCTGTGGGTGTGGGACCAGGCAGTGTAACCCAGCACAGGAATCACATCACTGCGTCGACCCGCTCGTGCTGCACTAAGCACATGCCACAGACACCAGGCAGCAGCAGACCTTCAGGTCCCGGTTCTGGCGGAGCAGGTCCTCTTGGACGTGGGCGAGGTACTGCAGCGCCAGCTGGCACAGGCTGAAGGTGTGGCGGAAGGTGTCAGGCCCGAGGTCTCGGTCATCCTCGCCCTCCAACCCGCCAGTCAAGAGGCTGGGGAGCACCGAATTCAAGCTGGTGATGTCGGACGCATGGAACTTGGGGAAGGAAGACGGGGGAGGGGAGGACGTGGCGGTGGTGTTGTGAAGGAGATCCCTTGAGGATATGACAACATGCAGCACATACTCCTATGGTGTGCAGCACAGCTGGCTGCACGCAGATCCATTATATAACGTAAACCCTTACAATGGCATCAGGGCTGACGCTGAAGAGGGAGGACCAGTTCATGCATGGTGCGGGGGCCTCAAAGGCGAAGTGTGGCGGGCCATGATCACCCATGCCACGAGGGACCACTCGGCGTACAAAACACGTCCCCATGGACACCACAGGGCCCGTCAGATCACGAGAGATACATCTGAGTTCCAGAAATCAATACAGATGTGGAAGGGGTGAACTTCGCATGTGGGCTTGGCATTGAAGGTACGTCGGAGACAGGGCATTCGCTTGACCAAGCATTGCCCGTCATGCGCGCCTCCACTCCACTTCTCCCAGGCTGATTTGTGGTTTTTGCTGGTGTTACGAAGCTTCAGCGACTTGCTGGCATTCATCGCACAGGAGTAACGATGAATGGCGGTTCCGGGCCGGGAGTGGGGGCGGATCCAGGTGACGGTTCCAAATTCTGCGAGACGCAGCATGCATGCAGCATGGGGGAAAGGTGAGGAATCAAAGTCTCGTCGATCAGATGCCTGCTCGACAGCCAGGAAAGGTGAAATTCTGTCGGCCAAGGATGGATTTCCATCGCTGAGCTTTAAGCATTCAGGATGACTCTCGAGTGCAGGGACCCCTGAATGAGGGACCAGGGCGAGAGAGTTTGGGCCGACGCGCCTCAACTTCTCCGGGACCTTGGCGACTACATCGCGGCACTGCATGCCAGTCATGCGGACGCAAGGTCAGGTGGAGAGCTGAATGGAGTTGCCAGGAGGCTGTGCAGAGCTACTGGTCGGAGACCGAGAATGTCCAGACTCATCTTTCGCAGATCCACTCCACCTGGAAACTCCGAGCCGGTGGTCTTGCATCACGAGACGGGACACGACGGGAGCAATGCCTGGGATCATCAGGTCGCCACGCATCTCTCTGGAGAGGATGCCGAGTACTTGAAAGGACTCATCGAACGAGGCAGAGTACAGGAACTGAGGGCAGTAGACGTTTCTGGTCCTGCGGTGACACCCTCCCTTCACAGTTCTGGCGGCCTCTCTGCAGCTCTGCTGGCATGCTGTCGAAGCATGGAAGCGGAGGCGGCACGTCTGGCTGTGAGCATCACAGCTCTGAAAGAGGTGTGCCTGCTACCCAATGCGAGATGGTTCCTGTGTGTCGGACATCGATAAGTTTTGAACAGGTGGTTTGAGTGCGCTCCTCCCAGTCCACACTCCTCATGCAACCCCTCACCGCACCCACAAGCAGAAGTGCAGACGGTACAAGTCCCAGGCAGCTCAGGCAGGGGACCAATACAGGCTGCTGCGAAGTGCCTACTGCCGACTCCGGGACGATGGCCCGACCGCTCCCTCATGTGGCACCGGCGCACCACTCGAGCCCCCTGGCGGCAGAGCAACGCCTGTACCAGAGCTGTCCCAGCCGGTCGCTGCAGGGGAGCCTGCCTCTCCCCCACCCCCCTTCAGCCTGCTGCCCGCCACTGAGGCACAAGCTCGGCGCGACCCGCTGCGTGGCGGGGAGCGGGCCGCCTGGAGGGGGCGGGAGGCAGACCCTCCGACCACATGCCCCTCGACCCAGGAGGTGACTGCGCCTGGGTGCGCGGCGGTGATGAGCACGCCCCCGGACCGAGGCATGCCTGGGGAGCGAGCTGCGCCCAGAGCCCTCCTGGCTGCGAGTCCCCCACGGCCCCAGCCGGGGTCAATGCTCGCCCGGGGGCGGCATGGGGCCACCCCTGCGCGGAGGCCTGTGCTGCAGGAGCGGCTGGCTGGGAACGTGGTGCAGCCTGACGGAGTGCCTGGCGCGGCACCAGGCACCGCGTCCCACGACCCACCGAGGTGCGAAGGGATTGCCGTGGCGCCGGTAGCACTCGCGGCATGCCGGGGCTCAGAGGGCGAGCCCGCCAGGGACGCCGAGGCTCCGGCTGCCTCCCCGGGTGCGGACGCCGCAAGAGCGCGGCCTGGCTTCAAGTATCAGGAAGTGGTCCGAGGCAAACGGGCATGGGAGGAGCTCCAGGTGGGTCATGGGGAGCTGCCGGTGCCTGTCTGAAGATGGAGAGGAGGGGGCCTTCCCATGCGGATTGCTGCGATCTATTCTAGGTGCCCCTGCCCGCTCAATGCTCGAAGAGTCCTTTGCATGCTGCAGGCGGTGGAGTGCGAGGACTGCCGCCGTTTTTACCAGGCGCTGGAGACCTGGGGGAGCGTCGCTCCGGGGGGGCAGCCGAGCTGTGGCCATGTGCCCGGGGGCGGGCCCCAGCCACTGAGCAGGACAGGCTTGCGGGACCTCTCCTCGCGGCACCGTTACCAGTTTGTCCCGCCAGCCACCCCCCCGGACTTCTGGGACATGGGCCTCTCCCCCGAGGCCAAGTCTGGCGGCCAGAGGGCACTGCCCCGGCAGAGTCCATGAGGAGTATGCTGGGCACCTGCCCGTAGTGCTGGTCGCAGCATTGCAGCCATGCGCACTGAGGGGGTATCATGTGGGAGGCCCCTGGCATTTCTGCATCGTCCCATCTTTTCAGCCTCGGCTCAGTAAGCAAGAGAATCGGTTGGTATCCGATGTCTGGATGGCTTGAACACTGTGACCTATATCTATGCATCACATCAAACAGAAACGTCAGTACCCTTCAGATGGCACCCACCACAGCAGGGATGGCTTCCCCCACGCTCTCAAGCGTGCCATACAGCAGCCTCCTCCCCAAAGCCTCAGTGAACACTGCAGCAGCCTCCTCCACGCCTACATTCGCCTGACCCAGCTCGGCGGCAATGCTGGTGACGCCCTTGTCTCGAAAGCCACATGGCACAATGTGCCGGAACCAGGAGAGGTCTGTGCAGACGTTCAGGGCGATGCCATGCGAGGCGACGCCTCTAGAGATGCGGACCCCCACTGCAGCGATCTTCCGGTCGCCCACCCAGACACCGGTCCCGCCGGGCACCCGACCCTGTTATTGGGTGGCATGGGAGAGGGCATTGCGTTGTTGAGATTTGGAGAGGGAAACAGTCATTCAGATCTATGCAATGCACTTTACCCAGCAGTGGACACCGGTGATCCAACACGTCTCCACCTGGAAAAATGTCGCGCAGTATGCCCGACCCATCCTGAAAGGCACGACCTCTCCCACGCTACCACATGCAGCGCCATTTGCACCCACCCTGGCTTTGATGCCGTACTCTCTCAGGCTGTCTATGAGGGCATCCTCCAGACTTTCCACATACGCACGGGCCCCGAGTTGCCGATCTCTCAGGTGCACGATCGGGTAGGCGACCAGCTGCCCAGGGCCATGGAACGTGACCTCGCCGCCGCGTGGCGAGCTGTGGATGATGGCGCCCAGGTCCCGAATCTGATCCGGTGTCGAGCGGAAGTCCCTGCTGCTTCCCCTCTTGCCAATGGTGTACACTGGTGCATGCTGGGCGTTGGTGGTGGGGCAGGATGTAAGCATGACGGAGATTCTGAGATACGCTTGACAATGAACGATTTACGTGGGGCTCCAACAGGTGAATCCTTGTCTTAAGATCTTCGCCAGCATGCTCTCCCCATCACCACACTGATCATGCACCTGCACAAGGAGCAGCTGGTCAGGTGTGGCTCGACGTGCTACGGCCTCGGCGAGGGCATCCTGAAGCTCCAGGCCACGAGAATAAGGAGTAAATGTGCTCAGAAGGAGGCGAACTTGGAGCAAGCCGCGCGCTACAGCGGCACTCATGCCAACGCTTTCCAAGACTGCAGAGGCCTACTGCCGACATGCACGACACAACGACATCTCGGATGTCAGATTCCTGGGAGCGTGCCAATGATCATCACCCCTAACAACTGACGGAATATGCAAGTGTCGAGTATTGTCTAGAGGGATGGATGGAAAGGTGTAAAGCTCAGAGTGAGCCTGTGGAGGAGGAACAGGTTTCCGGGCGCGCGAGTCCGCGCGCCAGGACGAGCTCCGAAAGCTCAGCAACTCTCGCCAGTAACATCAGCAACACCTTCGCATGCATACATTACTGCGTTACATTTGCGCGGCATCCATGCTGCCATACGACGCGACGTCAGCCACGCGCTTCTGAAGTCCGAGCTGCTGTGGTTTACAATGGCACCCCCCCTTGAGGCAGCATTGCTAGGCCGCCCAGGGGCAATGGTAGAGGACAACTACTCCACCGATGCATACTCTACGTTCATGGGTGGCGTGGAAAGGCCCTTGCCAGGGGTCCAGGTGACCGCCACCACCAGTTCTTCGCCCAGTCCGCCTGAGACACTGTTTTGCCAGGTGCTGCTTGGCGCTGGACACAGACACGCACGATATTGCAACAGCTCTGAGCCTTTAAAGGGTACATAGCTAGTTTGTAGATGTAAGCGCTTCAGACTATCCCCACACAGGTGTACGCCCCTCTGACCGTGGCTCAAGCTGGCAGAGCTGTGACGGAGCGACAACTCCTGCTCTTCTGTTGCCTTGAAAAGAATTCTGGAGGTCCACATGGAACCTGGAGGGCACTTCGGTGTCAGAGCATCCCGGAGCAGCATGAAGCTGGTGGATCTGGGACAATCTCGGTGCGACAGACTGGCCCTCCCATGCCCGCCGCCGCAGTACCAGCAGCCATTGATTGGGGTGCAGCGTCGACAGCGGGACACGGAGAAGCCAATGAGGAAGACGACCCCTTCAACTTTGACGACCTGGATGCGTCCCTGGATGCTCTGGAGGCCGAGAGGAAGGCGAGAGCCCCATCTGACATGGCACACGGGCCGCCCCACGAAAAGAGTAGCGCTGCCCTCGACTCCCGCGAGGAAGCGCCAGCGGGTGCTTCTGCTGCTCGTGCTGACCGGGTCGCTGCTCCGCTCCCGAGACCGGGCGACCCTGACACAGAGCCTGCCACCTCGGGCACAGGATGTGGCGTTCAGCCCAGTGCCCAGCTTCCTTGTTTCTACCTGGTGTGCGAGGAGGACGGCGCGGCAGGGCAGGCGAGGCAGCAAGGGCATGGCAACTCGGTGCCTGGCCCCCAGTCTGACAGCGAGGAGGGACCGGCGGCATGGGAGGGTGAGGCCTGGGAGGCGGACGCGGTGCTCCGGCCGGGAGGCCCAGACGCCGCTTACCTGCGCTTCACCAAGGTCCTGGGGCGCTGTGGCGACCAGTGCATACGATATGGGTATGTGGGAGGGCATGGAGGGAACCGGCTGGGCTGGCCTGTCTCAAGGGGGGGGGGGGAATGGCGGCTTCACACAACAGTGGATGAGCACGCATGGGCTTGCAGTCGAGCCATTTGGGGGTCGTGTGTGTGGATGGATGGTAATGACAGTGCCTCCTATCTGTGTCTGCCCATATCCACATGTTCGGGTGCTGCACAAACTTCATCCCAGGTTCAACGGCCAGCTGGAGTGGCCAGAGGACGCCCGGCCCCAGCCACCGTCCTGTCCCCTCTGCGGGGCGGAGCGAGTGTTTGAGTTCCAGGTGATGACGCCGGCTCTCGTGGCCCTGGACGAGGCAGCGTCCTGGTCGGGTGTGGCGTCCACCATTCCCATCAGCTGGAGCTGGATGACAGTGGCGGTCTTCACCTGCAGCGCAGCCTGTCAGCCTTCCGGTGGCGACCAGCAAGGCTGCTGCGAGGAGTGGACTGCCGTCGCCCTGGAATAGATATTGACAAAACGATTTAATGGATGTGAATATGAATGAGAGTGGAGATTAGGGTGGATCAGTGCGCGCAGCAGGCAGACAGATGGTCCAAGGATTCATGCGACATATGCGAGTCGAAGATATGTCGCTACCGGGCTTGCGCCGGTTGCACAGCTGCTTCCCGCAAGCGGGATCTGACTGGCGCAGTTGGTTGCCTCGATCGGCGAACCAGGGGTGGGGGGGTGGGAGGGAAGGAAGGGGAAGCAGGGGGGCCACCAAATGCAGTGGGACGAAGTGCATTTTCAAAAAAACACTTGGTCAGCATCAGCATGTTGGCCGCTCCGTTCACGTCGCGGTTCACGACGTTGACCTTGCAGGCCTTGTTCGTGCACCGCTTGGTGTCCCACACGTCCACCAGCTTCTCCTCACCGTTGCGCACCCGCACGTACTGGTGGGCGTGCAGGGTGGCGTGACAGGCGCAACACAGCTTTGATGACCTGTGCTCGTCAACCACCACCACCCTGCACACCCGCCGCAGGCGCCGCAAGAAGCGGATCCAGGGCCCAGGCGGGGGCCCCCGCATGATGCCCCCTCTGTCCTGGGCCGACCAGTTGCCCACGCCGACAATTGTAGTCCTGCCCGGGGGTGCGCGGAACTGCTCCGCCAGCCGGGTGATTGCCCGCTGCCTGCCGACGTAGGCCTGGTGCCACAGCTTCCGGAACGGCTTCCCGTCCCGGTGCCAGGCCAGGCCACGCCGCAGGTCTGGCACGATCTTCACGACCCGCGACAGGAGCACCGCTGTGCTCGCTGTCTTATAGGTCGGGCACCTACGGGAAGATGGTTTTGAGCAAGAGGGTTGGTGATACGGTTGGAGCGATGCGAGGTGTCGTGACACAGTGCCCGCCCCTGCAAGGCATACCCCTGCATACACTCCACCAACCAATCACCACTCACTGGTGCAGCTTCTTGACATAGTCCGGGGCCTTTGCGTGCCAACTCGCAATGGTCTTCTGCCGCCGCTGGGACCCCGACATGGCGTGAAACTCCTTGGAGGAGCAGGATGTAACATTGGCATGTTCATCGATAGCCGTGAACATATTGGTTCGGCCGGGGTCGATGCCAACATACATGTGTATCTTGGCGTCCTCTGGCGGGCGGTCCCGCCTGCAAATTTTGTGTAAGGGGGGTGGTGGTATGGGGTGAGTTGTGTTGTGGGAGCGCGGCACGTGTGGGTGGTTGGCGGGTGAGCGGGTAGTTGCATACGGTAACGCACGTCGCTGCTGGTAAACAGCACACCCGCAGTCGCTCCCAGAAACAGAGCAGCCAACACCCCCGCACCACTTGCAAGCGTCCCAGACAATCCCAGTAAAATGTCGACAAGCCAGGAGAGCCATCCCTAGCAGCACACACCCCAGTGGTACAGCCACGGACCACTCACCGGTAGTATTCGTCGGCGATTCCCCTGCCCTGCGGGGCGCCCAGGGGCGCCCCGCCGCGGGTGCGCTTGCCGCTGGTCTTCGGGGCGTCAGGGGGGCGGGGCGGGGGGGCGCCGGGCCGGGGAGGCCCCAGAAGATGCTGACGTCGACGTCACCATCGGGGAGGTAGGTGCGCAGAGGGACAGATCCGAAGAGGAAGGCCTCCACCTGGCATGGAGTTTGCGTGATGCGGGTTGGTGACGGGGGTGCGCCAGAAGCAGCTGTGGGATGTCGCCACCTCCACCCTCGCTCCATCCCTGGTTGCTATGAAACGCACCTCATACTCGTTATGGAAGCATTTACGGATGATGGAGCAGATCAAGTGCGCTATGGCCAGGCGCCTCGCTTCCGAGGCAGGGCTGGGCTGGAGTGCCGACAGCAGGGCCGTCACTCGCTGTTCTGCAGCAGGATGACGCATGGTTGCAGATAGAATCCATGCGACGCACACCCGCTCGCAATCCTGCCCAAGGACTCTCTCACACACCATCGCCTGTCGGGACATGGTTCACAGAGAGGAGCGCATGTTCCCGCGCTTGGTCTCGCGATCTCCACGTCGACAAACGATGACGTGCGCCATGCCGCTCGAATCAGGCAGTGATAGCCATATGCGTTGCCCGTAAATGCTTTTGAGGATTCCCCGTAATACCTTCGTATAGCATACATTATCCGAAGTTATACGAGCGCCCCGCCGCGGGTGCGCTTGCCGCTGGTCTTCGGGGCGTCAGGGGGGCGGGGCGGGGGGTCGCCGGGCCGGGGGGGTCCTCTCGCCCGCCGCAGGGTGACGGTGACGCTGTAGCCGTTCGTCCGCCAATGCCCTGCAGAGTACCAACCGCAGCCCTCGAAGCGGCGGAAGTTGAAGAGGAGGGCGAAGAAGGCCCAGCCGATGTGGACAAACCACTCTGTCTTCTTCCTCTCCGTCTTCTCCGCCTTCACCACCTTCCTCCCCTTCCTGAGCTGCCCATCCTCGTCCACGTCCACCTCGAACTCCTCCCGCTTGCTCTGGAGGCAGGCCTCCACCGCCCTGCGCTTCTTCGCGGTGAGCTTCGAGCCCTCGGTGGCACAGACCCTCTCGAGGTCGAGGATTTTGAGCACCTGGGATTGGGATTGGGTGGGGGTGGGTGAGGGGTGGGTTTGATGTGAGCGATGGGCAGGATTGGTTGAGTACTCTCCCATGGCAAAACGCCGCTGCAAACCGGTCATCAGAGTGATGAACAGCAAAGGGCAACCCTCCCAAAGCTTCCCGAGGAAGGCACCCGGGCTTGAACCGAAGAAGCGAAAGACATTTCTGTGACACAAAACCCCTCCTCCTCCACGGCATCTGGCAGTGCCTCACACCTCGGGCACGGTAAACATCCTCCAATCGTCACTCTTGGGCAGCTGCAGCCCCGTCAGCATCTACACGCCGCCCGGATGGTACTTCTCATGCCGCCGCAAGAGGTCTCCCAAT